CCCTTGGTTTCATTAATGCGATGCATGCGTTCCATGATGTTGTATTGCACTCATTGATCTACCAGTTATGTTGAATGATTTCTCTTTTAATATCAATTACTCACAAATACTTCATATATTTCAATCATACAAACAACTGCTCATTCAATGTGTGACGGGCGTATTATATACCGCTCGCGGTAACCTTGTTTTGTACTTGTCATAATGTTGTCGCTAAAGTATATTATTGCAGCGCCCTTTATATCTCAAGGGGCGTGATTCCAGGTAGCGATGGTTCAGCGAAGGAAGGAATTTAGGTCGATGTCAATCTTGACCAAAATTTGCCTCAAGGCCCCACAAGTGGCCCCACGTGTCCTTGCATCTGCCTGTCTGATATTATGGCAAAACGCAACTTCCATGTGTAACTTTGTTCATGACTTTATCCATCAACATTTTTGTTGAACATGCCCTTCTGGCTGTTAGGATTTTACACTTCAGATAGCTAAGCAAGACACAGAACCTTTGTCTCTGAAGAAGAAGTTGTTATACAAACCTTGCAGCCAGTGCTTCTGTTTTCATTCCACCATCTCGGTGTGTAGTTTTTGGCACCGTTCACGTATTGCCTATGTTTATTCCGTTATTTGTATTTGCTCTCGCCTTAACTTCCCTTGATAAAAATGGCGGATGCCGTCGGAGAATCAACGATATGTTGCTGCGTTTAATGATGTGATATTACCAGGAGGATTAGCATTTATTCTGGTGTTTCACTTAGGAGGGTTTGTTGTTGATGGTGATTCCTGGGTTCTTACTCTTTCTACCTCTGTAAATAAATTATCTCAACCCTTCGGTCCTCTCTGTTTGTATCGTAATGATAATGTCTTTGAAAGAGTTGATGAAGTCAAGAAGAATTATGTCTATTTGTCTTCCATCGCCAATTCCTTCGGCAAGGTCGTCAATGTTTTCGACATGTTGGGTCTCGCTCAAACACCGTCTCGCTAATTGGGGTGTTGGCATAACTCATAGCATATAGCTGACAATGAAAACGGAGCAAACTGGGAGTTAATAATCTCACATTTGGTTCACATCTAGCTGTACAACAGGTTGTCTAGCTTCTTCAATGGTCGAACTTCTGACGACTCCTGTCCTTCAATCTTGATAAAGGACCGCTTTGAGTTCTGCTTAAAGCCTGGATTGATGGTGTTGTGACCTGTAGCAGTTTGCACATACGTCAATCCATGGGGATGATTAGTGAAAAGTTTTTTTTAGAATATAAAGGTGTTTTTTTTTTACCGTAAATATGACATATGTTGTGGAAGCATGTCTATTTAAAGTTAGTTTGAATCAGACTTAAGTTTGACCACAGTGTCAACACACAAAGACAAGTAGACACTTTAAATCTAACGTAAGAGTTCTCAAAATGGAACTGTACCGAAAATGGAACAATTGTCATATACATGTTAAAACGGTTTTATTTATGATACAAATGGTGGTATATATTTGAAATCAAAATTCAAATAGTTCTTAGCAATTTATAGCATTTATCCACCTCTTGTGTTTTGGAACAATCTGTTTTAGCGTGGACTACTAATATATGTTATAGCCATGATTTTGACAAACTATAGAAAACAAAACTAATATTGAATACGTGCACAGAAGTTTATTGTACACTTCATAAGATCATCATCTGATGAGGCATTTTGACCATAGCACAAATAGTGATTGTATTGTATTTTTACAGTGAATGATTGCTAAGCTATTTTTTTTAAAAGTATCATGTAATTTTAAAAAGTATCATGTAATTGTTATTATCTATGTTATATGCATCAACGTATTCTCGCTGTTACAGATGGATTAAAATTTTACAAGTCAGAAAATGATGTCATCCTTAGTCCTGGGAATGCTTCTGGGTTTATTCCTAAGAAATATTTCAAGAAAGCTTACAACATTCGCACACGTAAGTGTACCAGAATATTTTAAAGTATTGACCCAGATAATACAATATTAATTCTACTATTTACTGCATTCATAATGGCTATACATTGCCAATTCGTATGATCGCCTGCTCGGTCTATATGTTTTTGACATTGCCCAAAATATTGTAATGGATCACGATTTAAAGTATTGTTTAAACATATTTTTAATTTCATTTGCAGGAGAAAACTTTTCACTGGACTAGAACAATACCCATACAAGGCTTTCGGATAACAATGTAACCAAGGGAATGCATGTTACTATGTGTATTCATGTACATGTCCCATGTGTGTGTGTGTTTTAAAAGTTTAAATTCCTTTGTAAATCACGAGTAAGTGAAAATCACTGTTAATGTGTTTATATTTTATTGAGGGATTTTTTTATGAGTTGTCGACATCGTAATATTTTGCGATGCAGATAATATGCTGTTTCAATTACCTTGACATCCTTCTGTGATTTGAAGTCTTTCAACGTATGAATTATAGATAGATAATAACCAAGATTGTAGATAGATGATAACCACGGTTTTTACGCTTCCCCGGCATTACGAGGATGTTGTGTGTGTATACGTCACACAATTAATTTACGTACGGATTTGTGTCCCATTGATGCTGAAGTAATCCTGAAAAGTAAACACCAATCAAGACATCTTCAATTATGTGTGCGTGCATTACTATAATTCTGTAACTGTGAATTAAAATCTAGCTGTACATTGTGACTTTCTTATTCTGGTCTGCAGGGATGCTAGTGATCCTAATTCTATACATACATGACCTTTTATAGTTTTAGAAAATGTATTGGTTATCTAAAAAGTCGTGACATATTTTTGGAAACGTTTGGCTATAAGTGTAATGAACTATCATTGTGAGCAGGGTCGGTTCTATTTCTGTGCGTGTGCGTGTATATCTTAGTATCTTAGCGATAATGAAGTCTGACTGTGAATTTGATCACGTTAAGTTGTACTTAGATTGGTGTTGTAGATTGAGAGAGTCGTGTTATCTGCTATAATAGGAATGAATGATTGATAAGTTACATACAAAGTATCATGTAATTGTGATTTTTAAAGGAAACAAGGTAAAATCCTTCATTTTACACAACTTATTTCGGTTTTAATGTTCCCTGCCTAGTGATTTTATCCTGTCTTTCACTAGTTTATCTTTAGTTAATTTATAATAATTTTGCAATAATTTGATTGTGTGTTTTATAAATTGTGTTAAATATTTGTTGATTAACCTGATTTATTTGAACGAATGCTCACCTAAATATATGCTTTCACAATTATTCTATGCATTTGCTACGGATTGTTATACAATTAAACAGCGTTAAAGATGTATTATATTTGTCTGAGGTTGGAAATATTTGTTTTTGTGTACATGTATTTTTTTTATTTCAATCTGTTGGAATAAATGTTATCTTAATGATGAATGATAATCCATTTCAACACAAAGTAACGACCTACCTGTTTTAAAAGAAGGTTGATACAGAAAGCCAGTATTTACTGTACCATATGGACATTTCGTCCAGTGAGGACTGTCTATGGTACTGTGGTAGAAACAATGAACATTTAGGACCAAACATATGTAAGACATTCTGTAAACTGTCAAAGATGTTACTGTTTGTGCATTGGTGTTTAACAGGGATACTTTTAATTCAAAATAAATAATCTATGCCAGATAGGTATACAAACCATTTCAAATGTTCATTACAAAGTGAAATTTGGTGGAAGCGGGGATATTATTTATGAGACTTTAGTGATACTGCTAATTGGTCAATATGGCTGTATATATAAAACATGTAGATTTATTTTTTTATTTATATATATCCAAATATCATTTATTCCACTTCTGGAATATACAGTATTACAATACGACTGCAACCCTGGTTTTATAGTACTGAGAATGGTAGAGAGAGGCTTTGTTACACAACTCGAAGAGCAAACGATAAAACGTTGTTTATATGGAAGCAGGTTCGTATCAATTTCATAAGTGGATATTCGGAAAGATTGTAATACACAAGCTTGAATTGTTTCTTTCGAAAAAAATGCAAGTAATGTATTAGTGTTTGCAGAAAAAGATCAGGTTATTAGATGTTTTTTTTCTGCGACACATTACATGTCCAAAATGGAGATCGTTGAGTTTGGCTAGGACATCGGGTCAAGAATTTCAGCCCTCGGACCTCCAACCCCCTCGGGCTAATATGAATGGTTGGTGGAGTATGAAAATGGGCATATTATAGCCTTTAAGTTTGTTTCTATGGCTGTCTACAAAAATGTACCTACACAAGTGTCATGCCTGAATTGTACCTTCTTACAGAGAAATGTTCTATACATGCTATTATACAAGAACATTTCACATTCCCATGTTGATTGTTTAATAATTATTGTATCACTCAATAAAAAATTCTATTGATTGGACAGCATTGTGTTTGTATTTAATGATTGGCATTGTGTCGTGTTTTATTTTTATTGATTAGAGGTTTTGTTTCATTGATTGAGCGTTGATGTGTGTTGTTTAATTGGTCGGATGATATCATGTAGTATGTATTGAATTGGCGGTATTTCGTTGGATTTTTATACGTCTGCCTAAAAATTTGACGGAAAGTATATATAACGGTATGGGGAGTGTCCGCCTCTAGTCAATAAGGTTTCAGCAAGATGACTTCCTTACATATAATTCGATATTTTGATAAAACTTTGTAAGCATTTACAATATACAAAAGCTAAGACTCACTCGTCGAAACTCGACAGATTCCGTACAAATAACAAACGGATTTATGTTAAAATATTTCACATAATATTGTCAAGATCGATTGGGTGCAAAACGTCATTAAATAAACTAATTAATTAATTAATGAAATGATTTTTTTCATGGTAGGTAGATTATAATCTGTCACGCATTTGTTTGAAATCAGCGCATTACTTAAAGGGATTCAATGGTTTTGTTTGATTTTGTTTATAGTCTTTTTGATAGCTAAGGTCAGTTAATGATGTGCCCCCTTTTGTGTAATGTATACGTGCTTTTGTGTATGTGTGCCAGAGACAGAGCATGGTGATGTAGCTGCCTCCTTCCGATAGTGCGGATCTGATGCCGACTTTAGACCGCTCCCTCGCTGAAATACCATGGCTTCAGTGACTGGTCATGTTCCCTCTCGAAGCCTCACTCAATAAATCCCTGATCACTCGACAATAAGAAACTTGTATATCTTCACCATGTCGATACATTATTGAATATTCCAGTCATTATGTTTGTAGATGACCTAAGCTGTTAATAGTATGTTAAAATGAAATCAAACCTTAAATGACACCGGCTGTAAATAATGTTAAAACAAAAACAACCAAGGTTTATGTGTATATTTATATAGATAAAGGGAAATAACTCTTACGGTAAATGCATGGACATAGCTACAGAAAATCTTCCAAAGCTTTTAATTAATCAACTGAAATAATCGCTAAGCTACCTTAAATGTCTCTGAAGCGCTTCCATTTTGAGTAAATTACCACACTCTGAATGAAATTTTAGCACTTAGTGGGTATAGATGCATCATAAACAACTATTGGATTTATTTATATAAGTTAATGGTCTACATGATTTTATGAGTATCATATAGATCTTTATAATTTGGTTAGAATTTTAGCCTTTATAAAACCTTTCCGGATGTGAAAGTAGTCAGTAGTTGATACATTTATATTACGGCAACGATAATGATAATTACACAAACGCACAGTCCTTCTTACACATACTACTCACGCGTTTCCCAAAACACTTACATATGCTACAAAATCCTCCCACATACATACGTACAGACATCAATTTAAAACAAATTCAAACAAAGATACCGACATCACTTAGTAGGTTCTCATAATAAATACTCTTTAAATATAATGTTATGCAGAGGACGCTGTTAAATGTAGTTGTGATAGGATTGGACGAGAAGCCATTCGAACATGTGTAGTGCTTTTTTAAGAAATCGGGTTAGTATAGCTAATCACCATTGTAAAACACTGTCACCTTTGTAAAACACTGTCACCATNTAAAACACCGTCACCATTTTAAAACACTGTCGCCATTGTTAAACACTGTTACCTTTGTAAAACA